ATACACTTCCAAATGTAAAATAGATAGCTAGGGGGAAGCAGCCGTATAGCACAGGGAGATCAACTCGGTGCTTTATGACCACCTAGAGGGGTGGGATAGGGAGGGTGGGAAGGAGGAAGACGCAAGAGGGAAGAGATATGGGAACATATGTATATGTATAACTGATTCACTTTGTTATAAAGCAGAAACTAACACACCATTGTAAAGCAATTATACTCCAATAAAGATGTAAAAAAAAAAAAAGAAGTATTGAGGTAGGCAGCCTAGGGAAGGCCTGTGATCCAAGCATTGGGGACACAGGCTCCTTCTGTCTTTGGCTCTGCTGTGTGAGATTACCATGCCCAAAGTCTCATGGTCCAATATAGCTGCTGGAGCTCCAGCCATTACAGCCACATTCCAGCCAATGCGAAGGCAGAAATAATACAAAATGGCATACGCCCTCTGTTTAAGGTCCTTTCCCTAATGTTGCACACCGCTTCCATTGCCAGAATGTAGCCACACGGCTACCCTTCGATGCAGGAGAGGCTAAGAAATGCAGGAGAGACCCCTATTCTGGGAAGCCATTTGCTGACCTAAAAAGCAGGAGCCTGTGACTAAGAGAGAAGGGAAGAACCAATAGTAGGGATGACCACTCTCCCTGCCACCTTTGCCCTGCTCCTGGGGACAAGGACTTTGCTGGGCATAGATACCCATAGATGGCAAGTGGAGTCAGCCCCTTGGGGACTGGGAAGAGACCAATGCAGAGACAGGCAGGACAGATGGGTGGATCAGGGCTCCACAGAGGAAGCTGCATCTCACTGTTCTCTCTCCACAGTACTGGGTGGGCACCTCCAAGCCAGCTGACCTGCCTCTCACTCGCTCTGTCGATAGCTACATGACAGTCCAGAACATGATGGGCACAACTCAGCGACAACCTCATGGGGGGAACTCACTTTGTTTTGGGGTTGAGGGCCTTACTGTGTGACTTTGGGCATGTCACGTCTCACTAGAGGATCAAGTGAGGTGGTGCATATGCCTGCCTGGGTGCCCATCTCATGTTACTAGTCCATTACCATGCTTGGCCCAGGCATGTCTGCATGACCTTGGCCAGTGTCTCCCCATCCCTGTCTTTAAAACGGGGGTGATGACAAAGAACCTCCTCACAGGCCTGGCCTCCTTCCTCTGTCCTTCTGGAAATGGGGTGGCAGCCCTGCCCTGCCTCCCGGCTCTGTGCACTGAACTGGTGGGAGCAGCGGTGCCTGGAAGTGCCTGACAGAAATGCAGAATCCTAGGCCCACCCCACTGCCATGAGATGGTTCCCCTCAGGTGGGTGGCGGGCAGGTGGGCCACCAGCTCCCAGGGAGTGCCCATTGCCCCAGGCTGTTCTCCTCCTCCCGCTCCCTGGTGGTGGGCATGTGTGGGCCAGCCTGGGCCCTGGCAGAGACAGGAACTATAGCTGCAAAGCCAGCCTCCCGGGGTAGGGTTGAGCACAGGCCTGCTTCACTCAGCCTGGGGCACCTCAGACATGCCACACCACGTTTCCAACCTTGGTCTCTCTCTCTCTCTGTAAAATGGAAATGCCATCTCTGTCTCCTTGCCTCTCACGAATGGAAAAGGGCCAGGGATTCAGCCACTTTCAAAGGTTCCCATTCATGTGGTCTATCTGAATGCACATCTTCCCAGATCCCAGATGACATAGTCATGATCTCCCCACAGTAATTCAGGGGCACAGGCAATGTTCATCCCCCTCCTGGTGGTGTGTTGGGTGAAGTGGGGCCCAGGCCCTTCTAGCCATGAGACTCCCATCCCTCCTGATGAGGAGTGAAGTGGGTCAGGCATCCTGGTCTCTGTCTCACCCAGGGCATGAAGCCACCGCCCTAAGAGCCACCAGACTCTGGGGCCTGTTCTGGGTGATGTGGCCCTTGGCTATCACTGGCCAGCAGGATTTCAGCACCTGCTCAAGGTGGCAGCATGAGGAGGGGCTTAGGTCAAGGCCACCACCACCCTCACTGCCGGGAGCTGGTCTGGGCTTCACCTGGGCTGGATCAATTCATCTTCACAGCATCCCCATTTTACAGACAGTAAATGTATCCCCAGTCACACAGCTCAGAAGGGGCAGGTGAACTCAGCATCATGCTGCGTGTGTGCGTCTGCACATGTACGTTGGCTGCACATGCAGCCTCTCTATCACGTGTGTCTCTCTGCTGGAGCATAGCTGCTGGCCCTGTCCCTCCCCAGCCCACCCCGTCTCCTGGGACATTACCCAGTGGTCACTTCCCCATGGACCCAAGCCTCGTGGTCAGCATCTGGGAACCGGCCTTGGACAGTCATGCTGGTCTCTCCAGCATTAGAATTTGAAACCAGGTAGATGTGGGGACACACAGTAGGCACTGCCCCTTTCAGTCTGTCCTGGGAACAATCTGGTAAACAGACACAGCATAGGCAAATGAAAATGACAAAGCAGACAAGGGAAGTCCCTCCCTGAGGACAGGCACGCCTGGAGAATGAGACCCTGCCCAGGGCTGACCAAGCCCCCCACAGGTCTACCCTGGGAAGGTGAAATGCCTGCCTGGGTCCCTGGTGGTCAGTACAGAGCACAGTTACAAACCCAGGTCTAAACGCCCAATTATTCCACCACGATCTTTCCTGGCTTCCGCCTTTTAGACAGAGGGAATAATGAACCTCAGCACAGAGCTGCCATGTGGCCCACATGAGAGACCCCTATGACACCCACAGAAACCCTTTCACTCAGCAAACAGGCAGGAACAAAGCCCTCTCCTCCCACCTCTCTTCACCTGCCCCATCCCCACACCTGGGGCCTCCCCTGCAACCTCAGAGCCCTCTCCTGGCTGCCCTCTCCCTGGCCCCTCCAGGAGCCAGCACTGCCCCTAGGGCAGAGAGGCTAGTGCTTTTGTATGAATAATACCAACTTAAAAACTCTGGATTTCCAGCTGCTCATGAATAGTTAGTTAGCTGTGGGTTATGTGAGAATAACAGTAACTACTACTTGTAATGGCCACCATGCCCAGGCCTGATCAGACCCCCAGGCACTGCTGCGTCCCCACTCATGGTGGCTTTGTGAACTAGGACTGAGGCAGTAGCCACCTCTGTGAGCCTCAGTTTCCTTAGCTATGAAGTGGGCCAACAGCAGTTCCTCCTTCACAGGACGGCCGTGTGTGGGCAGAACTGATGTCCCATTGGGATGCATTGGGCCCTCAGCGGTGCTGCGACTGGGCAGGCCCTGCTCACACCTGCACAAAAGGGAGGGCTATTGGTCTGAACTGTGGGCTGCAGGACTTCAGGGCTAAGGTCAGGACAAGCTCCCAGGGCAGCCCATACAGACCCTAGACACTAGGCCCCCACCATGGGCAGAGCACTGAAGAACCAAATCCAAACACCTCATTGAACAGAGAAGGAAACCAGCCACATCATACAGCGGGCGAGCGTCCGGCTGGGTTCAGCCAGTGCTGTGGGCACCCCACAGCCCCCAGCCTGTCCCCCACCACAAATGGTTTGGACATGCCAGCAGGTCAGGAGGAGGACCTGGTGCAGGGTTTAGCGGAAGATTCCTTTTTCTGATAAATCTCCAGGGTGACTTGCATTTTCCATGCCTTCTATTTCACTTTCAAAACTCCCTCTAGCAGCGGGGGCCTTCTATTTCACTTTCAAAACTCCCTCCCCTCGTGAGTGCGTGGGAGGCCTTCATGCCCCCATTTCCTAGACGAGAAGGCCGAGGCTCAGAGGGTGGGCAGGGGGAAACAAGGAGGGTCCAGTGTGGAGGGCAATCACAGGTTAGACAGGCACTAGGTTACAACGCCCATGGGTACCCACCTGCTGGCTGGGTAGACTAGCCGGGAGAGCATCCAGTCCACTCTTACAGGACTGCACAATCTCCCCAGTTCTGAGCGTGGCCCTCCTGGGTCTCTTCCCAGCTGTGCCTCAGTTTCCTCCCATCATGTGAGGGGGTAACACCTGCTTCCCAGGGCTGTAAGACAAAAAGTGATGCACCTGGCCCCACGCAGGGCTGTCCCATGCCACCTCCCATCTGCCCCAGAAGTCCTGTTCCAGCCCACAGCACCTAGAACAGGGCATGGCATACAGCAGGCACTCTGTGGTTACAGGATGAATGAATGAACCTCCACCTCCAGGCCAATGTAACTCACTATCTCCTGACCTTGGGCACCGCTGCTTACCCTCTCTGGTCTTTGGTTTATGTGGAGGGAGAAGGTCATGCCCACATGGCCTTGGTCTCCCTCGCAGGCAGGGAAGCTGACGCACAGAGGTCAAGCCACCTGCCTGAGCCACTCTGCTGAAGACATCAGCAGACACCGTGACAGACGGCGGAAAAAGGGCAGGGGTGGGGAGGGGGAGGGCGGCTCGACTAGGAGTGAAAAGCAGGTGGGCCTGGGAGCCGGGTCAGGGTCAGGACAGGAGAACACAGAGGCCTGTACTTTCGCATACCTGCCAGGGGAGATAATGCCTGGCCCCTTCGTACCTGCCTGGCTTCTGGGAGAGGCCCGCGTCCTGGCCGACAGAGCCAAGGGCTGGAGGAACCAACACGCTCAGGCCACCCCCGACGGCTGGCACGGGCACACACAGGGTGCCACCCCAAACAAGGGGGCCCTGCCTGAAGACACAGAGGCTGCTTCATGAGGGGCAACGGCGGGCACTGGCACACAAAGCGGGCCCAACCTGTGGTGATCCGCTCTCTGCCTCCCCCTTCCCTCCCCTCGTGAGTGCGTGGGAGGCCTTCATGCCCCCATTTCCTAGACGAGAAGGCCGAGGCTCAGAGGGTGTGAGACCCACACGACTCGTTGACTCAGGTTCCGGGTGCGGGGCGGACGATGTGTTGGCGAGACCTGCAGTGGGGCCCCCGGGGTGAGCCTCACCCCGTTAAAAAAAAAAAACAAACAAAACCCACACCCGCGGGAGCGCCCTTTCGCCTTCACAGCGCGTTCGGCAGTTAGCGAAGCGGCCGGGGAAAGGCCGGTTCTTGTCCTCGTTTTATGGATTAAAAGTGTCCACGACAGGAGCACAGAGGGCGACGTACTTTACCACGAACACGCGAGGTCCGGGGCCTAAGAGTGCCGAAACGCAGCGCGGGATCCCGCGGCCCTTGCCGCCCACGCTGGAAAGGAGAGCTGCAGTCTAGGACCAGCCAGCCAGGCCTCCAGCCCCGGCCTGGGGGCGGAGTCTGAGGGCGGTGGCGTGCGCTGGGCGGGCCGGGGGGCGGGCCGACGGGAGGGGGCGCGGGTACGCAGCAGGGTCTCAAAGGCTGAGGCGCCGGCCGCCCTGAGGCCCGGAGCAAGGCTGACCCAGCGCCGCACCATGGACTCGCGACCCGAGGAGTATGAGCTCAATGGCGACGTGCGCCCGGGCTCGCTTGGCTCCCCGGACGCCTCGGTAAGCACCCCTACCCCCGTGGCGCTCTGCGACCTTGGCCGATGCCCGCCTTCTCTGAGCCCGGCGCCAGCGGCCCCTAGGGACCTATGGGCGCCGACCAGCTGCGCGCCGCGTCCTTAATGAGGGTGGCGGTGGTCGCCACGCCCCGTGCGTTCCGCCCCCTACCCGCGCGGTCGGGGGCCCCAGCGGTGGCCCTGGGGCTCCAGCCACCCCGGAAAGTGAGCGGGGGCGGGGGCGGTTGGCAAAATGCCGGAAGTGGCCCGGGGCAGGTAGCGCCCACACCGAGCTGCACAGCCGAGGGGCCTGGGCGCCACCTTCCCTCCTCCCCCCGCCACTTCCCGCTGGCCCCTGTGTTCCCGGCTCCCACACCACACTCCAACTTTGCCTCTCCGCCGGCTCGATGCGCGCCCGGACTGGGCGGAGTGGATCTCGACTTCTGGGCCCCAGGCCAGCAGCGGGCAGACAGTTACGTCACCCACGGTGTCCACGGAGACCGCACAGTCTTGTGCGTGCCCTGATGGGGAACTTGGTGCCACTGTGGCCCCTCTCCTCTCTCCACCCGCACGAGAGGCTCTATTCAGAGCCTGCCCTGCTGGCCTGGAAGCACTGTGGGCATGGGGCAGGCCCTGGCAGTGGTCCCATATTACAGCTGGTACCCTCCCACCCTGGGGTCCTGTCCCACTGGCAGGGCCAGAGTAGCGGTTCCTAACTGGCTTTGCCTTGGACTAGCACTTCCCCAGGGCCTCTGTTTACAGCGCAGTCCTGAGCACGGCCCTCCCAACTTGTTGACTTTGGACGTTCTGTCAGTTTCTGACCCCCCGGGGATGGGGGTAGGGACGGTGGCCAAGTGCGCCTGACTGAGGCAGAGACTGGCCCTGCTCAGGTGTGGGTGACCAGTCCTAGGCGATGTTGTAGTAACAGGCCACGTTTAGGGGATGGGGGGAGAACATGTGGGGCAAGCAAGGCCTTGGACTGGGGAACGGGCCCTCAGCAGGCAGGATGGGTGTGCTCAGGGATCACTGCGTTCATTGGCTTTGGGACCAGTTGCAGTTGCTGCAGCCCTGTACCACTCAGTCTGAGAGCTGAGACCGGTCCAGACGGAGAAGCCACGGCCAAAGTGCTGAACTCCCAGGGGTTGGTTCTGAAGGCAGGTGGGAGTGGGGTCAGGAAGGCTTCCTGACCAGTGGGGACATTGGCACTGGAATGGGGTACAGGTATGCCTGGGAAGGGCATCCCAGGCAGGGGGAACAGTGAGAGAAAGGCCCAGGGGCTGGACCACCAAGTATCAATACATTGGAGCTGGGGAGCTGGAGGTGGTATGGGAGGTCAGACCTTGCCAGCTATGGAGGCCATGGAGGGGCTGGAAGCTCATGTGACCGTGAACACATTCTTCCAGGGTGGCTCCAGTCACAGGCAGGGAGGCTCTGGGAGAGATGGTCAGTACTGAAGGCTGCTCTGCTCACCCTGCCTGGGGCCCAGGCCCACGCAACACTGCTCTCCAGCCTCCGCCTTCCCCTTCCCACCCTCAGGACCTGCCTCACTGTGTTCTTGAGCACATCACTCTGTGTCTCAGTTTCTCATTTGTGAAACGGGGTGAGAGTAGTGCCTCCCTCAGAGGGTTATGGTGAGGATTAAATGGGCTAATGCGTGTGAAGTGCTGTAGGAAACTGGGCACACAGCGTTGTTAACATTCCTGCCTGCCACACAAGACCCTCTCCCAAAGATGAAGCCCAGGCAGGGTTTGGAAAGGGCAGCACCTTCCCTCAGGTGCAATCCCTGTGGACAGGCATGGCCCTCCCCCTGCACCTCACCTGGCTTTTCCACAGCCTTCTCTCCCGGCGGTCCCTCCCTGAATCTGAGCCCCAAGCTCCTGCTTGAGGAGGGGTAGAAAGGCTTGCTGGGAGGAGGGGCAAACCCAGGATCTTCAGATGTGTCCCCACTTAAGCAAGAGCCCCAGACAGCAGGGTGTGTGGGCTGGGTCACCACTATGTCCTTGGCTGCAAGAGGACTGAGTGGGAGGCCCAGGCCCAGAGCCGCCATCAGTCTCAAGACGCCCTGCCATGCGGCCTTGGGCAAGTGCAGACCCTCTCTGAACCTCAGTTTCCTCCTCTGTGAAGTGGGGCAGGATCACTCACCTCCCAGGGTGGCTGGGCTCAGGGAAGAGTTATATGTGTAATCCATGGGCAGATGAGCCCTGTCGGGCCAGGGTGGTGGGGGAGCTCTGCAGATGTCCCCCTCCCCGTGCCCCATATCCCTATGGCCTCCACACAAGGCCCGTCTGCTCAGATGCCCCGCAGGAGTGAGTTGGAGTCTTCACTAAGTCAACTCACTTTCGGCTGGCAGCAGCAGGAATAGTAAACATCAATTTTATTGTGAAAATAAATGTGGTCCTTGACTGTGTCATGCACGGGGATTTATCTCAGGGGGCAGCTGCATTGGACCCTGCAGCAGACTCTGGGACCACAGCCAGCTGAGGACACAGCACGGAGGTGGCAGGACAGGGTGCAGTGAGGCTCCTGGGGCCACATTTGGGCTTGGAAGCCAAGTCCTGGGAGGGAGGGGTGCGTGCACAGCCTCAGCTGCTGGGGGAAGTTTGCTCCTTTTCTCTTAAACTTTTTTTTTGGCTGCGCTGCACGACATATGGGATCTTAGTTCCCCAACCAGGGATCGAACCCATACCCCCTGCATTGAAAGCATGGAGTTTTAACCGCTGGACCTCCAGGGAAGTCCCAAGTTTGCTCTTTTTCTCATTTCTGCTCTCCTGGCAGATCCCGAGGCTGGTGGGGTCTTGGCCGTGTTCCAAAAGGCAGCCCTGATGTGGCTGCGGGGTTACTGCTGGCCATTGCTGAGTCCACAGGAAACGGGACTGCCCAACCCAGCCCAGCTGCAGCAGGGAACCCCCCCGCCCCCCACCCCAGGAAACTTCCTGCCATGAACTCAGACATGGAGCAAGAGACATCTCGGGGCTGGCTGGGTGCAGACGGTGTGGGGACAGTGCAGGAATAAGCCAGTGTGACCTGGAGCAGGTGGCTTCATGCTGAGTCCGGGTGGTGGCCACAATAACAGCTTATGCCCCGCGCTAGTGGGTCAGACAAGGGACACCCCAGGTCCCAACAGATCCTATTCAGTCAGTTCTGAGGTCCCAGCCAGAGGCAAGGACGCCAGAGCCCGCACATCCACTGTTGCCCACTGAGTCCAAGGGGAGGGGCCTTATGCAGAAGTGGCTGCGATAGCCCAGCATCTGGAGCTGGACCTCCAGTGCACCCCGGGTCTCACTCAGCTCATGCATTTTCTGGGGCTAGTACTTTCTCTTCCTTGTTATGGATTTTTTAAGTGGAATTAATTACAAATTGGTACAGTTCATTTTGGAGGCAACCTTTCAAAGTGGTGAAGCCTGGGTGGTGAGAAAGAGGAACATCCAGTCCTGCCCTGCACCAGCTGTGCTCTGACCAGCCACTGGGCCTCTGAGCCCTTCATTCACTCCCCTTTATGTGCCCATTTTATAGATGAGGAAACTGAGGCACAGACCAGTCATTCTGTTGGTCCGTGGTGTGGCAGGATATGGAGATGATAAAGGATAGGTGCTGATGGAAGGCCCACACCCCAGCTCCTCCCAGGGTAGCTGATGAACCTCATAGATTTATTGGGGGCTTGGTTCTACAGATATGCAATTGGGCTCTGGGAGCATGGGCAGGAATTCCCATGTGGGCTCCTTGTTCCATACTTGTACATGGGGTTTGGAGTCAGTGGCAGAGTTGGGGCAGGAAGGATTGGTGGAAGTCCATAACCAAAACCCTGAGGGGTCCTGCAGGGGTTCAGTGGGCCATGGCCCTGGCCTGCCCTTGTCTCCCAGGGGAGCAGAGAGTGTACAGGCAGGAGGCTGGGGGTGGGCCAGACCTCCTGGGCCCAGCTGTAGGCCACGGGCAGCCCATCCAAGCCCAGGGTGGACTGGAGGATGCATTGTGCTGAAACTGGGTTCTCTGAGTACCACAAACCTGCTTTGAATCCTGCTTCTGTCCCAACTCCCCTCCCTGTCCAAGCTGAGGTTGCCCAGCAGTGTGACCCTGGGCCAGGTGGCCTGGGTCCCTGCAAGCTGCCTACCAATGGCTGGGATGAGACCCTCTGTCCACAGAAAGTGGGCTCAAGGAGCCAGCCCTGTGGGCATCTGCCAAAGTCAGCTCCCTCCCCACAGGCTCCTTCCTGGCTTTTAGGGGAAAAAGTCTGGCAGCCCCAAGCTTACCCAGCTTCTGGGATGCCGTTGAGGTTTCAGGGAAGTCCTCTTGGCCCTAGGGACACATTAAACTGGGTATTTGTTCCCTGCACTGCCCAGGTCATGGGCAGGGGTCTCGGTGAGAGGGTCCCAGCATGGCTTCTGGCAGCTGGGTGGGCAGGTGGGCTGTCCAGGCCCATAGAGCTCTGCACCTGTGAGAGTTGGGCTCTGACCGCCCCCCCAGCCCCAGTGACCTTCTCAAGATAGCAGCCTCCCTGGGATTCACCTGTGCAGCAGTCACCTCTAGGGCCCAGAGCTCCCTCCACAGCTCAAAGCCCCTCCGCAGAAGGCCTAGGACACGAGGTCAGGCATGGGAGAAGCGGATCAGCCCTGCAGCCTCCTCCCCACCCAAGCCCCTACCACACAAACCTCCTGGGCTCTCTGACCAGGGTGGACATGAAGCTGTGCCATGTCCTGCATGGCCCTAAGCTTTGAGGTGGAGAGGCTGGTTCAAATTCTGATCTGCCCCTCCCTCACAGTAGCCCTGGGTGAGCCCCCCTGAGCCTTAGTCTCCCACTCTATAGAATGGGAGAACAGTGCTCTTTCTCAGTGTTAGTGGGGGCACTTGGTAGGTTGTAGAGCTTCCCAGACTGTGGCCTGGGGTGTACAAATGGGGAAACTGAGGCCCAGTGAGGGGGAGCGTGTTGTCAAGGCTACACTGCCAGGCTATAGTGAGCTGGGGCTTGACCAGAGCTCCCCTCACCAGCCCCCTGGCCTGCAGCCTCTGGCCAGCACTCCTTATCACTGCACAGGTTGAACAGGAAGCAGATGGCCGTATGGGCAGGAAGTGCCCTGTATCATGAGGGGCACATGGCCTGGGGCCCTTGCTTCCTTACTGGGACCCTGAGACAGTGGCCAGATCCCCCAGAACCTCCTGGCATGTTTGCTCCGTGGCCCTGTTGCACACATGGGAGACTGAACCCCAGAGGGGCCTGGCTGTCCTGAGGTCACTCAGCTAGAGCCAGGGGCTGGGGACTTCTGAGCACTCAGGCTCACAGATGACCCAGACCCCAGACCCCCACTGCAGGCCCCAAGGGGACTGTCATGTCAGCTCTCAGGGCTTCTGAGCCCTGGGACCTGGGTTCAAATCCCAGTGCAACCCTCACTTGCTATTGGCTTTGGACAAGGTTCCTCCCCATATAGCCTCAGTTTACCCTTGGTAAATGGGGCGTGAGGACGGGGGACTCCCTGGTGGAAAGCACCTAGCTAAAGGGTGAGTAAGATGATGGGCTGTGCCCTGGGCACCCAAGATGGAGGACAGCGGGGCACAGGCGCCCTGTGCTGGGGGCACTGCTGCTGATGGTGTCATTCTGTATTTGAATGTGCATGTGGCTGCATGGACATAAAATATTTCAACAGTTCAAGAGAGCTCAGAATAAAAAGGAATTCTCCCTCCTCCTCAGAAGCCTCCACAGTTAGCCTGGATGTGTACATATGTGTGTGTATGTGTGTTTGTTAATGCATATATACATATGTATTGTATATGTGTGTATACATGCGTCTGCATGTGTGCTCATCTGTGTTTGTGCATGTGTACTGTGTATACATGTTTGTGTGTGCTTACACACATATATGTATTGTGCTTGTGTGTAGATGTGTATTGGGTACTTACGTGTGTGTGGAAGACATTTTGGCACTTCTGGTTTATGAAACATAGGGGCACATGGCCAGCGGGCCAGTGTCTCCAGGATGCCCACACCCAGAGGAGCACACACATGGTGAAGCATGGCCAGATGGGCCGCTTTGCAAGAGCAGAGCTGGGAGACAGCCTGGTGCTTTTGGGGGGGAGGGCACAGACCCTGGGGAGGAGTGGTGTGCCTTGGGTGTTCTTGGTCTAGGGGTGTGGCCCACCCAGATGTGAGTGCAGCTGTAGGCCTGGCATGGAGAGGCAAAGGGGAGAGTTGAAGAAAGAAAGAGGAGACCTCAGGCTGCACATGGAATTTCCCAAAGAGCAGGCCAGGGCCCTGGGTCCAGTGGAGGAGGCTTTCCCTGGGGGCTCTTGGGTCTAGAATTTTAAACCAGGTAGATTTGCTACTTAAGAACAACTGACACTGAGGGAAAGCAGGACATAGCAGAGCCGCCTACGTTCCTGTCCTCCCTCCTGGGCATGTTATTCTAGATTAAATTTAAAAGACATAATGTAAAAATGATGACCCCGCCCTTCTGTAGTTCTGTAATTTACATGGTGAAATATCTCCAGCTGCAGAAGGTAGAGGCTTGCCCTCCCCAGAACCCCCACCTCCCATCCCTGCCTCTTTCATGACTCTAGAAACAAGATCTGAATGGCCCCAGGAGGCCTTGTGGCTCAGGGATTCCTGTGGACAAGTGGCCAGGGCTGAGGGGTACAGATTTGTCCTGGGAGGTTGGGGAGGGGCCTGGCCAGGGGCAGCTTGAGGAGAGCAGATGGGCTGGATACAAAGAGGAGGCCTGGCAGCTTAGAGCTGGCTTCGAGTGAAACAGCCGCCCCAAGAGGTAAACTCCAGTCCTGGGAGGGGTCTTTGTGGCCTGGACTCCAGCCTCGGAGGCAGACCTTCTCCTGCCTAACTACCCTCCCCGCTCCTGCCCTGGGACAGAAGAGCCTATCCTACAGGGGGAGTCAGCTCTGGGTGGGGCCCTGGGGCATGGAGGGCCCTTGGGAGGGACAGGGGCCCTGGCCTTGAGGACTGGGGATGTTCTCAGGCAGAAGTGAGGGAAGTTATCAGAACTTGTGTTCCTGTTTTATCAATGTGAACATGAAGGCAGAATGAGCCCTGGAGATCCACTGTGCAGCATGTCGTGACCAGTACAGCACTCTAAGGGTGATATTAGTGTTATCACAAATACTAATAATAAAGGGTCAGGAGAAGACTCTGGATGTGTGGTGGCCTGGATGTGGCGATGGTGCCACGGTACACACTTAGCTCCAAACTCTTCAAGTTGTTCACGTTTATTAGGTACAGTTTTTGTGTGTCAATCACACCTCAGTAAAGTGGTTTTAAAAATTTTTTGAATAAAAATTAAGGAAGAAGCTAAGCTCCGTTGCATTGTAGAATGCTGAGGCATCTGTTGAGCACCTGCTGTGTGCCTGCACAGCTGGGAGATGGCCTGGGTGGATCGGCCATCCCAGGAAGACTTGTTTCAGGTCTGGGCGAGTATGCAGGGATCTGGAATCCAGATGCCGTCATGTCACTTCCCGCCCTGGCACCAGTCACCTCCTGGAGAGGAGGGCAGGCAGGGGCATGCAGGGGAGGCTGCCAGACGGCCCCGCCCATGGCAGGCAGACAGTTGGCGGCATTTTCCCATCTAACACCAGAGTGTGTGCTAAGGTTGTGTTTTGTTTCCTTTCTCTTCCAGGACTTGATTCCTAGGGTGGGTCTTGCAGGGGCTGCACAGCCTTCTCTGGGCCTCTTGTTCTATTAATAAGCACTTCCCTTTCGAGCCCTTATCTGGGCCCTCACCTGCTGATCCGATCAACCCCCACATCCCTGGGAAGGAGACCAGGCTCAAAGGGGGGGACACCAGGGTGGGCCCAGGCCTGCAGCCCCCTGCCGCAGAGCCCAGGCTGACCGCCCCCCTCCCTGCAGCCACCCCGCTGGGGCAGGAACCAGCCCATCAACATGAACCATTATGCCAATAAGAAGAGTGCGGCCGAGAGCATGCTGGACATCGCACTGCTGTTGGCCAACGCCTCCCAGCTGAAGGCTGTCGTCGAGCAGGGCCCTGGATTCGCCTTCTTCATCCCCCTGGTGGTCCTCATCTCCGTCTCCCTCATGCTGCAGATTGGTGTGGGCGTGCTGCTCATCTTCCTTGGTGCGTGCCTGGGCAGGGGGCCCCAGCAGTGGGAGGGCCCTGGGGTACCCCTGCCCCACGGTCAGCTGATTCTGCCTGCACGCACCTTGGGATGCGTCACTTACCCCACTGAGTGTTTTCCAGGCCCTCACAGAGCTGCACGGGAGCCCTGGCCCTTCTCACTAGGCACGTAGTCCAAAATGTAGCTCCCACCGTGGCCCCAAGAGGGACCCCATGTCTCCATCTTTCCACTCACCCAAGCTGAGGACACAGGAAAGTGTCATAACTATACTAAGAGTTGATATGTACTGGGCACCTACTGTGTACCCTCTAGACCTTATGGCGGTCCGTAGGGACTAGGTGGTAGTCCTGCCCCCAAGGTGAGGGTCAGGGCTAAGAGCAGCAAGAGCTTTGGGCTCCCCACAACCGCTGCCTGGCTGTGTGACCTCAGGCAGGTCACACGACCTCTTGGACCTCTGTTTCCTTGCCTAGAAAGTGGACATAAGGACAGCCTTGGGTAGGTGTGAGGATGGCTAGATTATCATTGCACCAGCACTCAGAAAAGTGCTTGCCTGTGCACGTTCGGCACATTGTGCCTTAAAATCCAAGCCTGGGCCTGGGCCTCCATGCCTTCCACTTCGTGACCAGGCACCAGGCCCCTCTGAGCTTCTGTTCACTGAACAAGGGGGAGTGCAGTGGTTAGGCCACAGATACCAGACTGCCCAGGCCAGAGCCCACTGTCTGTAATGTATTAAGGCAGCCATGTCTCTCTCTTGGGGACAGAAGAGGGCCCCTTGGTGTTGCACAGCCCTGGGCAGTGTCTGCTCCCTCTCGCCCACAGTCAGGTATGACCTCAACAACCCTGCCAAGCATGCCAAGCTGGACTTCCTCAACAATCTGGCCACCGGCCTGGTCTTCATCATCGTCGTGGTCAACATCTTCATCACTGCCTTTGGCGTCCAGAAGCCCACGATGGACATGGCACCCCGGCAGTAGGGGCTCGGGTGAGCTGTCAGGGCCGACCCCGGCAGGGTCTACACGTGGCTCCACCACGAGCCCACCCACTCACCCCACTGGGCCACCGACCCAGCATGGGGGACTCAGGGTCTTTCATGCAGAGCCCCTGTGACTGCGTCTGCCCTCACCTGGGCCTTGCAGGGTGGGCGCCCCTGGCCGTGTGCAACCCCACACCACACTCAGCCCACTGTCCTCGCTCAGAGAGACCCAGCGCCTGCCCAGGGTCACCCCACTTGGGAGCAGGAGCCACAAGGGAGTGGAGGGACCCTCATAACACATTCAGCAAGCCCCTACTATAGGGCCTCAGACACAGGCAACCCTGATTGTCATGAGGGCAGATGCAGAAGGTCAGTGGGTCTGGCATGTGTCATGTGTCCAGAGTCTGGAGCCCTGGCCAGGGCTGCACAACACAGGTCCACCCACCCTTGGGTCCAGCAGTCCTCGGGCCTGCCCCAGAGGAGAGGTGGGTGCCACAAACAGACAACTGTCCATCCACTAGCACAGCAGAGTGGACAGGAGACTGTCCCTACACAGCAAGCACCTATGTGTCAGGGGCATACTAGAAAACCTTACACATTGACCAAGTGGACGATGCCGTGAGATGCTGGGAGCAGGGCCTTGGTGTGGCCCCATTGTGAGCACCTGGCCTCCACTTGCCCATGCCATTGCTATTGGCCCCACCTGGCATCTGATTCACTGCCCAGCTGCTGGCTCCAGTTTGTTGTTAAGTCTGTCCCCCGTGGAGGCCTCTGGATGCCAGCCTGCTCCCTCACTCATTGCATGATGACAGGGCCACTTATTAATCACCTGCTTGTGTGCCCCAGACACAGTCCTGACTCTCCCCAAGCATCAGCCTAGCAAGGAGACCTTGTGGGCCCCACGGCACATGTCCACCCGCCGGCCCATGCTCTCAGAGGGCCCCTATCAGAGCGTGCTGGGACCAGGCTTTTAAATCCTGACAGTGACCCAGGAGGGGAAACTGGGGCTCTCCCAGGTCAGAATTGGGCTGTCTGATTCCGGAGTCGGAGTGACCCCAACATTTGTGGGCTGGTTGCCAGACACAACACTGAGGCAGGGTCACCAGAACAGAACTGGAGGCCCCTCTGGCCTTGGCGACCCTCATGCCTCTCCTCTCCCTTCTTTGCAGATGCCCCCGGATCGTGCCTGGCCGCAGCTGCCTAAACCCAGGAGGCGCCTTGCCCTTGAGGCCCACCCTCCTGTGCGCGCATTCCCCCAAACCGCCACAGCCCAGGCTGGCCCCACTGGACTGCATCCAAGCAGGCCACCCACGGTCAGGCCACTCTGGCCAGCACAGGGCCTGCCCCATCCTCAGCTGCTCCTCCTCCTGGAGCATGGCGCGGTGAGGCCCAGAAGACAGAACTGTAGAGTCCTCAGCAAGGGTCATCGCTGCCGTGGACATGCAGCAGGCGCAAGGATGGGGGGACAAGAGGCTGGCGCCGTCTCAGGACATTTCCAGAGGGATGAGGAGGCGCCTGCCCTCTGCCAGTGCAGCAGTGTCCTGGCCTTGTGTGCTGCCCACCCTGAGTGACCCATGACCTCTGCACTTCCTGACCCAGGACCGTAGACCACCAGAGACCCCGTGGGACCCCCACCGTGGCCACTGACTCAGGCCTCACACCCTCTACCAGCAGTGACTCGGCAGGGCCCTACCCCTCCTTGGCGGTCTGAGCCCCCACTTTTCTAAGTACAAGTAACCAGTAAAGCTGATGCTCCTCCTCATGTGGCTCCCAGTGCCATCCTCCCCTCCCCCAGGCCTGGGTGCTGTGCACCGTGCCCCTCAGAGCACCAGCCTGTGCAGGCCTCCTCTCTCTCTCCCCACAAGCCTGTGACCTTTGTGGGGAGCAGCCTCTGTTGGCACCTCCAGACATCACCCCCATGTGTCCTCGGGGACTGGTGACCCCTGACCAGACCCTCACGGAAAGTTCCAGCACTCCCACATTTCCTGCAGTTTGCATGCCCACACAGGTCCCTTCTGCACCCACAGTACTGGCTCACCTTGTGGCGGTGCTGGGCACTGCTGGTCAATTGGGCCAAGGGGACTGAGGAGAGTGGGGCTGGTGCTAAGCAAGCCTCGACCCTGCAGAGGCACCAACAAGGGCCAGGTGCTGTCTCGGGGGGACCTTGGGGCCACATCTCACCTGGCTGGGCCCTCCAGCTCCCTCAGTCCACCCTGTGGCTTCTAGGGCCTGAGCCCTCACTCTCTGCCCCCTTGTCACCTCCTTTCTGACGCCTGCTGGCCCCACCCCCTCATCTCCTTGAGGCAGCAATGCTCTTACTTGGTCCTCTCTAGGTGAGATACCTGAGAATCCCCTCCAAGCAACTGGAGCCCCGGGTGGGGATGCAGCCCCCAGGAGCTCCCAAGGCCCCTCCCCCATCACTTCTCTTGCCCTCTCCACTCTGAGCCTGGGGCAGCTCCAACACCTTGTTCCCTTAAGACATTCAGGTGACCCCACAGACTCTTCTGTAGGGCTGAAAATTCAACTCTGCACAAAGTGATTGATAAACAGGAGTGCTTCTGGATGAGATGATCTAATCCTGGGCTTTACTTTAAATAAATAATCCAGGAAAAAACATAGGGAAATGGATGAAATAAGATTGAAAGTGCTAGTGGCTGCAGAGCTGGGGCCACGGGGCCAGCTCTCTGCTCTTCTGAGTGTCTGAATGTCCCATAAAGAAGGTTTTTAAAGGTGATCCACATATGGGATGAGGTCCATGAAGAAGCAAGACCAGCAGGTAGGCAGTGGGTGGACACATGTTCCCAGAGGATCCAATGAACCTGGGGCCACCCCAGCCAGAGGGGTCAGATGCAGAGCTGTGCAGGTGGCTGGGCCCAGGGAGCAAGTGGTACAGAGGACCACCTCTCCTGCCGCTCACTATGAGCACATCTTACCTTGGCTGTCTTGTTATTGCCAGGAAGCAGCAGAGGTCAGGCTCCTGGCTGTGAACCTTCCCTACCACCTGGCCCTCATGGTGGGTCCAGGATGGTGTCCGGGCCCATGCCCCCAGGTCCAACCCTGCCCAGGGCCCAGCACAAGTGGATGCTGCCCAGCACCACGTGCCTGGTATAGCCTGGAGCAGTCTGTGGCTTGTGGTGTGGGCTGGCTGGCAGCCACACCAGACGGATGCCAGCCTGTGTGGACCATGGACATGGCCAACAGATGGCCTAGTTCCTCCTTTGGCCAGGACAGGAAGCTGGCCCAGATGTGGCCAGAGAGGTTAAGCCCCAGATGGCTGGACTGGGTCCCAGGTCACCAAGCCAGGCTGGCCTCCACGGGTGCTACGGGCACTGGGGACAGGGCATGACAGTGGGTGGGTCTGTGCATCCCAGCCCCCTACAGCCCCTACCCCAGCTGCTGCCCCAACAGGTACACATGACTGCCCCCCCCACCTGACCCCCCCACCAGCACCCAGGCTCATGCCTCTACAGTTCTGGCCCCCTGACCCTCACTCTAGATGTCTTCCTGTCTTAGGCCCATGGCACGTGCTGCTGCTCTCTCGGGTCAGGGCTGTGCCCTGAGGTCTTCCCCACTGGCCCTCCTGACCACCACTGCTGGTCACTGTCATGGTGGGCCATTTGGGTTTACTCTGCCTTTGGGGCCATTGGCTAGCGTCACTGCCCACAGTGTCCCCCTGGGGCCCATATCTGAGCCCTGACTACCCCTGCACCGTCTGGCCCAAGACCAGGGCTGCTCCCTGAGAAGGAGGGTCCTGCCCACCATCTCCCTGAAGGCTGAGGGAGCTCTGCCTGAGCTGGGGGAGGAGGTGGACCCCTACTCATACTTGCACTTCTATTTGGTCTGACCTGGCTCTCCCACTGGTTGCAACCACCCACAGCCTATGTCCCCAGCACTGTGTCTGACATACAGTAGGTACTTAGTAAACATCTGCAATAGATTCACTCCTCCTCGAGTTCCGAGCCCTGTGCATGTGTCACAGTGGCCAAGGGATGGACAGAAAACCGAGGCCCAGAGGGCGAGTCAGGGCCAAGCCAGACCCAGGGGGGTGTGACAACCCTCAGGGAGTCCTCCGAGACCCTAACACATCCACTGCTTGTTAACTACCCCCTCTGCCCTACCATGCAGCTGCCCCACCCGGGGACACTTCTCTGCCCTCCCTGGGGATGGCAGAGACCCTTAAGGAGTAAGAAGCAAGGAAACATACGTGCCAAGTTGGGGGACTCCACAGAGGGACACACAGGGAAGTCAAGAGCCGGGGAGCTCTCAAGACCGATGCTCTGGGACCCAGGACTGGGAGGGAGCCCCAGGAAAAGACAGGCTGTGGTGCACGAGCCCTGAGGCCACGTGAGCTGGGGCTGGCCTTGAAGGAGTGTGGGGTGGTCAGTGCAGGGGAGGGGGCAGTCATGCAGAGCTTGTTGAGCAAGCTCTGGGGGGACTGTGTGCGTAACCTTCTTACTGTAAAAGATAGATGATGACTGATGGATGGATGGATGACAAAAAGATGATAGATTGATGGACAGATGGATAGATGATGATTATAGATAGATAGATAGATGATAGATAGACAGATAGATGATAGATAGGGGTAGGGATAGATGAGTCATCCCCAGGTCACCCCTGGCAGAGTCACCAGATGAGGAAGTAGCTCTGTGCCAGTGGAAGCCCAAACAGGACCCCTCTGTCCCTCCGGGAACCCTTGTTCTTGTCTCCTCATTTCTCATGTCCCCTGCATATGTCCAAGGACACCACAGTTTATTCCTGCCTGGCTCAAACCCTGGGAGTATTCTAGGTCCATTTCACTCTACAGGTTCTCCTTCCCTGACTCTCCATCCCCACTGTCCACCCTTCAAGGCCATGGCCCACTTGACCTGGGTGGGGGGAGGACAGGGTAAGTCGGGGGGCTCTGAGGAAGGTAGGCCAGGATGGGATGGGGGCCAGTGGACCAAGAAGGTGGACTTTTGCTGCAGGATTGGGTCCTTCCTCCTTCCCACACCTGCCACACCCACCTACCCATTTCCCTCCCCTCTCTCTCAGGCACCTTCTCTCCCACCTGCCTTTAATTGAACTTAGTTCCTCTTTTCTCACCACATTATTTATAAAAATCAAGGAGCTGAATGTTTTAACATTTTTCTTCCCTTTCTCTCAAGTATTTATTTCATGGGAAACTAAGCTAAGCTGCTGGACCTGTGTGTGGCCCAGGGGACATGCCCCATGGCAGCCCCCTAGGCCCTGCCCCAGCCCTTGGTGTCCTCAGAGGGGAGACGGGGCTCCAGTCCTGCCTCCAGGTGGAATGAGAATTGAGGTCCCAGCTGCCACGTGGCCAGTGATGAGGAAGGGCCCCTGCTCCGTGCTCCCAATCCCCCATCCAGTCTACAAGACTGGGGTCCCAGAGCCCATACAGCAGGGACCTGACCCAGCGCTTGGTCAGGCCTGGGGTTTATGCAGAGGTTTTGGGGGCACAGGGTGAGCAGTATCTTCTCTGAGTTAGTCCACAGAGCACTGACCTGGCGGGAACTGGATATAACAACCCCGGATTCCAACAGTGTCAGCACCCACACCTGAACCCTGTGCCCTCTCCCCAGAGGGAAACCCTGCATTGTGCAAATTGCAGTTGCATTTCTGGTTCCACAAACACCAGCCTGTGACCTCACCCGGCCTGAACCACATCACTCTGGCAAGAGTATCTAGGGCCCTAACTCCCTCCATCACAGGTCCACTACTCTTCACACACACACCTCCTTCTTCACAGACACACTTCTCCCAAATGCCCGCATCACTTCCGTCCCTCCCATACTCCTCACACCCTCCCTCATTCCTCTCCCTACACATGGGGGTTCTTCCCCACCCCAGGCAGACTGGAGATGGGACAGTCATCCCAGCACTGTGATAGCCAGGATGAGGAACTACTCTTTTCTTACTAGAGTTTTTGGGGGACTTTCCTGATAGAGATGGCATTTTACCAAAGACCCAGGTTGAGTAGATGGGGGGTGGAGGGCGGATGGTTAGTAAAGTGTTCCTGCTGAGGGAAGAGCATGTGCAAAGGTGCAGAGGCATGGATCATGGTCAGTTCCAGTTGTTGAGGTATGGAGGTGGGGACGGGGGACAGAGGGTCAGGGGGCCAGCAGGGGAGACTGTGGCCCATGGTGCCTTTCACACCCTGATGGACTTAATGCATTCCATGTCATGGTCACTGACTGACAAGGTGGTTGGCAGGGCGTGGCCTCATGCGGGGAGGTACTGTGCCTAGACATGGATGCCCCATTGTTCTACCTCCCTCAGTCCCAGCCCAGGAGTGCAGGCATTGTATGGCAGCAACCAGCCAGGGGCAGGCAGATGGCAGAGGGGCCTGGCTGCTGGTCTGGGCTGTTGTCGCAGACTTCAGCTGCAGGCACGGAGTCCAGGCACAGTCGGGGAAGGGGCCGTCGAGGCGGGGATCCACAGAAGGGTCCAAGAACAGCCTGAGCTCGGGGGCTGCTTTGGACCTCCAGGGCAAGGCCTTGGTAGGTCATGGATGGAAGGAGAAAGTCAGCAGTCACAAGAAGTAGCCCAGCTCGAGCCAAGGGAATAGGTGTCCTGGACTGTCACAGCTCACCAGACGGGTCCTGAGACCTGGGACAGGCACTCACCACCCCCCACTCAGGGGATGGAACCCTGCCACAGGGTCTCACAGGTCTCGGGGGGTGGACAGTACCCAGGACTTCCCTGCCATAGGCCTGCGGGGCCTGTCTCTGGGATGTTCCCTCAAAGGTGCTGTCTTAGTTCGGGGCTGCTATAACAGGCCACAGACTGGGTGCTGTATAAACATTTATTTCAGGGGGTTGGAAGGCTGAGATCAAGGCACTGGCTTATTCAGTGTTTGCTTTGCCTGCACCCTTCACACAGTGGCCTCATTTACTTTTACCCACCTACAGTCAGGCGTCTGTCACCTTCACCCAGTAGTGCCCTTTACCTAGTTTGTGTCTGTCACTTTCACCAGGCATGTGTCACTGTTACCCAAGCGTGTCTGTCAGAGAGCAGGACAAGCATCAAGAATACCCCAGGCGGGCTTCCCTGGTGGCGCAGTGGTTGAGAGTCTGCCTGCCGATGCAGGGGACACGGGTTCGTGCCCCGGTCCGGGAAGATCCCACATGCTGCGGAGCGGCTGGGCCCGTGAGCCATGGCCGCTGAGCCTGTGCGTCCGGAGCCCGTGCTCCGCAACGGGAGAGGCCACAACAGTGAGAGGTCCGCGTACCGCAAGAAACAAAAACAAAAACCAAAAAACAAGAATACCCCAGGCATCTGCCCAGGAAGCAATTACCCTCAGAATCAGAATCCTGCTCGCTCACAATGGATGGAGGGGCTACAGACTGGACAGGACATGCTGGGCTGGGCCTCAGGGGTCTGCTGACCTCGAGAACCCCTGCCACCTTCTGAGCTCAGAGTCTGGAGCAGGTGCAGGGACTAGTCCCCCGGTCTGGCTGGCCAATCGGGAAGGTGGCCTCCAGTGTCTCTGCAGCAATAAGAGCCAGTTTACATGGGGAACTGTCTGCAAGAGACCTGGAGTGCGGTGCACATTCACAGCCCTGAGGAGGCTGGAAGGGAGTGGGCACGTTCACAGCATCCCTAACCCTGGACCCTGAACAAGATCAAGAGGAACCTTCACGTGGTGCGCAGCCATTGGGGGATCCGTTCAGCCCATTCAGCTCAGGGTGGCACCTGTGTCCTCCCCACTGAGCACAGACAACTGCACTCCTTTCACCCAATGGGAGTCTGTCCCAGAGAGAACATGCATTAGCCATGCCTTCCAGCAAAGTGGTAAATTCATGAAGCAATTTCCAGAGAACAGTACTTGGAACAGTGCTATCCAGCCTAGGATATCCATGCTCAAGGACAGGTCCCAAGGTTGTGTCCCTTTTTACAGATGGGTAAACTAAGGCTCAGAATTCGGAGACACACACCCACAGCCTGCAGTGCAGAGGTGGAGGAGCGAGTGGGAAGCTGCACTGTCCCAGGCTTCAGGGCAGAAAGGAGAGCTCCTATGCCTGGCTCTCCCTTGCCCTGGCCCTCACTTTAATGGCTGGGCATGCAAATGAGTGAACTAGCTCACGAGCTGGCTGAATGAATCAGCCAGAGACCATGTCCTGAAGCTGATTCCTCTGCCTCCCATCTTGTTTCCTTCCCACATGCTCTGAGAGACTAAAACCTGGGAGTGGAACCCCTCCTGGGGCCCCAATGGTAGTGTCGTTCCTGGAGTCAGGCTGTGGGTTCCTCCGGAAACCCCCTATGGAAAATGCAAGCTCATGATGATTCTTGGGTTGACAAACATACTTCTGTTTCCCCAAAGAGGCTGGAGAGGGACGAGCTGACAGGGTGGGGGCAATGGGGAGAGGAGCCCATCAGGGGCCAGGCCCAGGCCCTGGCAGCCCATGCCTAGTGCGGTGCATGTGTGTATCTGAGCACCGTGCACGTGTGCATGTGCACACTTTTCGTGTATGTGTGCATGTATGTTTGTATGCCTGTGTGTGCACGTGTACGTGTGTGGGGAGGGCACTCTTGGCAGCTGTGCGGTCCTGGGCTCTGAGCTTCCGCTCCCTCATCAGTAATGAGGGTGGTGACAGGGGTCCACATAAAAGACAGGTGCCAGACAACCACAGCCTGCAGGAGGGTAGTAGGCACTGGGGACGTGGCTCACAGGGCCCCCAGAGCCAAAGGCAGAGCACACTCTTGGACGTGTACACTCACCCTCTTGTGTCCACGAGGGACATTCCCATGACAAGATCCTGAGCCGGAGGCTGGCAGGTGAGACAAATAGGTACAAACACCCTGGTCAAGGGGACAGGCCCATGTCCCCAAGACAAATACAGGGGCTCAGCTCTGAGGACAAGGTGCTGGGTATGGCCAAACCCCAGGCTGTTGGGGGAGGGCGTGAGGAGTCAGAGCCCAAGACTTCAGATGGCACAATTACATTTTTCACCTCTAAAAGTTCTAGAAGTTTTTGTGGACTCTTTTTTTTCTGTCTCAACCTCCTCTCCACCTGGGATCAGGGACAAGACTTTGTGTTCATTTCTAGGCTCTGACCATATCTGTGTCAACTGAACCCTCCCCAGACCCGCCAAGCGCGGGTAATCACCTCCCGGGGGGAGGGGCTCCATTTCCAAGATAGTAGTAGTATGAGGGGCCACGAGGGCCCAGGATCTGGGTGTTGGCTCTGGTGACTGGACAGAGACAAGGGGGATGATAGGGGAGGGGGTATCTCCTTGGGACATGTCACAGGAAGGGAATGAAGATGGTGGTGGAGCCCCTCATGCACTGGGTCTCCCCCCTTTCCTGGCTGAGTGATCTCTCCTTTCAGTCTTAGATTCTTCATCAGGAAAGCAGGGACAGCAGCCCACCTCCTGGGGCTGCTAAGAGGAATCAAATTAACACATGCTGGCACTAGGTATCATGAGGCATTTGGTTGGCGCCCCTCCATGGCCCAGGGCTCGGGTAACAGAGCAGCCCAGTGCGCCCTGTCCATCCTCATCCTCGCCACCTGAGGCTGAGGGCTGGGGAAGGAGGGAAGATGGGCAGGGGCAGGTGTGGGGACCAACAACACCCAGGCAGGGGATGGCAGGAGGGGTTCAAGGTAGGGAGTTCTGGAGAGAAGTAGTGGAAGGTGGCCAGGGAGGGAGGGAAGGGGAACACGTGGCAGGGGATATCTGGAGGTGGGCACTGGGGGACACAGCAGGGGTCATCTGGGGCAGGTAGCCCACATGGAGGGGTGAGGCCCAGGCCCACAGGGGTCTGAGAAGGCGGCCTGAGCAGGACCTGGGTCTTGGGTTGGACTCGGGAAGCCAAGAGCCCACAGGGTCAGCCCCAGTTACACATGCTGTCATGTCTTGTGTTGGAATCATCTAGAAAACACTCCTGAGAGAAGGGATAAGACTCAAACATTTAATATTGTTGAGTACCTTTGTACAGTGAAGGTAAAGTGCTGGTTACGTAAGTTATACACAGTGAGAAATAAACACTTAGAAAAGCCAGCCAGCCCCAGGGCAGCAAGCAGCCAAGGTGGGCAGGGAGGGGATCGGTCAGAGCCCCCCCAGGTCATCTGTGAGGAAGGCCAGCAGGAAGCGGCTGACGTGCCTGTCGACGATGACAGGGGAGAAGCCCAGGACACGCCTGGCCCCTGGCAGCACCTTGGGGTCTGGAAGACAAGGGGGTCTCAGAACCCATCGAGAAGGCGCCTTCTCTCAGCCTCATGGCATCGCCAGCCCCACACCTGAGTGATGTGGGGTCCCCATGCCGAGTGGGCCTGCTTGGCACTGGCTCCCCACACAGGACCTCGACAAGGTCAGCATGGCAGGAAAGGAACCGCAGGACTGCCACGCTGGGCCACAAGTAGGGGGCCTCAGGTGTAGGCCTCCGTCCATCCGGCAGGGCTCTGCCCCATGGTCTGGAGAGGACTGGGCTGAGGCTTGGCCAGGCAGCACCCACCTGGGGGACAGCAGTAGACGAGGAGTGCCAGCCCTGCGGCCAGGCCGAGACAGGTCAGGAAGGCCACGGGTCCTGGGGAGAAATGCACGTGAGCAGCTCCCCGAGCCCAGGAGGGCGGGAGGGGTCCAGAGGCCTCGAGGGACAGGCTCACACCCTGTGCTGGGGTCAGCTGGGCAGGGACACACCCAGTGAGCACCCTGAGGGGGTCTGTCCAACAGGAAGCCAGGAACGGAACCCGACTTGGAATGGAGAAGCCCCCAAGGCAGAGATGGAACCTTGGGTGGGGGAACAGAGAGAAGGGACATGGGAGGCGGTTACCCCTGTCACTGAGCTCACGGCCTGCGGTGCCCGAGTCTAGCTCTGTGCAATCTGAGTTCTCTGGAAACAAAATCACAGGGTGCAGTTAGTCATGGGTGGGCCAGAGGGTAAGGTGGTTGCCCCGCCCTCGGGAAACCAAGGGGGCTGTCAAGCCTCCTCCCCCAGACCACCCAGGCCCCTCAGGTTGTGCCGGTGCTAAGGCCTCCAGGCTGTGTTTGGGGTAAGTCAGCGCCAGAGAGGGAACCCTGCACAGTTTTGTGTCTTCTCCTTTTGTCCACTTCATGAGAACTTGAGGACCATGGAGTAGGGGGTTCATTGTTCCCTGGCAACCACAAGGCACCAAACACAGCGCAAACACCTGCCTGTCCAAAGTCTGATGATGTTGATGTGAGGGCAGGACGCTCTTTCCCTTTCCCCAGACCCCACTGGGGCTCCCCCTAACCAGCCAGCTGCCAGACAGCCCTGAGGGCACCCTGGTAGGTACTTGACTCCAGGCAGGCTGTGTGGTCCTGACCTGTGGTGACAGGACCGTCCCATGCTGGAGCTCAGGGCCCAGTCCTGCCAGCCTGTCCTTGGGGGCAGGGACACTAGCCCCAGGTCCAGCCGAGTGGGCTGAGGCGAGCCACCTCTTCCCTCCTGGCCTCCAGCCTCTCATCCGAGGACTGAGGGACAGTAGCCACTCCTCCTGGGGACCTGGGTGCAGAGGCCTCAGGACTGAGCTGCCATCCTCGCTTGTACCTTCCCTGCACCCAACCTGGCAGCCAGAGGACCCATCGGGGCTCACAAGCCTCCCGGGCCCACAGGCCAGACCCTCTAAACCAAAACACATGTGTCTTGGACCAGCCATCTGTGTCAGAAACTGTTCTACAGAAACAGCCATGCCATGAGGATCTACCTGGGCGAAAGTGGACACAACCTGCGTCGTGGGGGTTCGGGGGGTCAGTTCACTCAAGGCTGGTACAGCCTACAGCCGTGAGCTATTTCTGATCAGAAGTGTAAGGGTTCCCAGATTCATTAGATTACAGAGGGAAGGGCAGAGCTGCATGCAAGAGATGCTACCTTTTGTGTAAAAACTGGCACAAGAAAAAGGGAGACAGAGGGACAGAGAGACAGAGACAGAGAGAGGGAGACGTGGGGACAGAAACATCTATATTGTCTGAAATACTCTGAGGGCCATACAAGATGCAACCAGAGGGCAGTCTCTGGTGAAGGGCTGAACAAGAAGATGCCGAGGCCTGGGGACTGGGACACGCACTTACGCAGGGCGTGCCGGCTGGGCAGGCAGCTGTGCAGAGGCTGGGCATGGATGTACAGGGCCCGGTAGAACTCCTGGCAGTCCCGCTCACCGCTCCGCTGCAGGTGGCCCAAGAGGTCGCAGAGACGCACTCGCAGAGATACCTTGGGGTTCCGGAACTGGAGGAGGAAGGGGCACAAGACAAGGTCAGGCTGGAGCACTCTGGGCTCAGCACCCAGCACCAGCTTCCTCAATGGCTGTGATACCATCTAGGTGCTTGGAACATGCACGGGGAGGTAGCAATTGCTACCACAGCCTCATGCACTCCCATGTGGCACCCAAGACTGTGCTGCATGGCCACTAAGCCTTGCACTCCCACTGGAGGCCAGGACACGTCAGCAAGAAAGATGGCGGTGACATTATTCCAAGTGTGGAAACTTAGTGGCTTGCTGACTTGGTTTTCCCATTTGTAAAAAGGGAATAATAAACCCACATGGTAGGGTCATTACAGGGAATCTCTGAGGTAATGATAATTTCTAGTTTACACTCTACAGGAATGTGATTCAAGTTTTAAAAAATAAATCAAGGGTTAAGGAGAAAAAAAGGTGGCTTTTTTGATGTGGTTGACTGAAAAATATGTGGTTGTAAAGGTCAATGGACAGGGTACTTGGCATTGACCCCCAGAACCTGGAGGCCATGGCTCGGTGCTGCCACCTGGTGGTGGTGTACCATGCTACAAGGAACTAGAGTCAAACCACAAAGGTACAGAAACTGCAAAGCAAAGGCAGATGTGCAGCAGAAGCCATGGGTACCTATGAGGAAAGGAACTGTAGTTTTGTGTGTGGAGGAGTTTCCTTTTTCTCATGTAAACATATGAGCTTTTCAAATTGTTTTCTTACAATGAATGTGTATTCGACTTTTAATTACAAGATATAAATTTGAGCCCCCACTTTTTAACTCACTGTACTACTTCTGTAACTTAAGCAGCATCTGGGCCAGTAGCAGGGTCCGTGTTGATTCTAGTTCTGTTGAGGATCAATCCCACCTGTCCCTAGGAGAGACCCCAACCCTCCAAATAGCTCTGCACGTGAAACTGTTACCCTGTGCCAAGGCAGGAAGCTCAGGTCCAAGAGGAGAAGAGCTCGCTCAGTCACCCAGATGGGAGGCAGGTCCTGCACCCCAAAGCCCCGGCTGGTCTCTAGCACCCACCCCCAGCCCCACGGGGGAGCCAGAGAAGTGGGTGGGGCGAGCAAGGAGCACTCACTCTCACCCAGTGTCCCTGAATAGGATGGGCCAGATTACACCCAAAACGTTTGCCCACTTTGAACTTTTGGAAGATTCAGAGTGAAGAGCCCTATGGCACTGGGTAGGGCCTGTCTGGTATCCCTGATCCCCTCCCACCCCAGCACTCCCCCTGTTCCCCCTCCCAGGTTTGTCTCATGTTGTGGCATGTTATCACATGTCTCCTGTGATCCTCCCAGCATTTCTGGAAGGGGCCAGAAGGCCTGATGACAGATAAAGAGACTAAGGCTCAAAGAGCTGATGTTCTGGGCCCAAGGTCACCCTAAGGAGACAGGTTTTCACCTCCAAGCTGTCCTGCCCCCCGCTTCTCCCAGCCCAGAGAGGAAAGGGATGGGAAAGCAGCCTCAGGTTCCTTGGCACCTTTTCTGCATCCTTGTTGCTGAGTATCTGGGGGTAGTAGCGGTTCAGCTGGAGGATAATCCTGTCCACCTGCTGCTCACTCAGGCGCCCAAGGCCTGTGAGGAAAGGCATGTCCTGGACCAGGCGGTCACAGTAGGTCTGCTCTGAAACAGAAGCATAGAACACAGAGGGAATGAGCCAGCTCAGCCCAAAAAGGGGGTGGCGAGACCCACACACCATGATGCAGCCATGGCAGGGACCCCTCGCAGCAAGGTCCCCATGCCCACCGAGAGGTGTACCAGCATCTGGACAACTGCTGACATCCCAGCTCACGCACAGCCCAGAGTTCCCCCATATCACGCCAACACCGTTGCCAGAAAGTGGGGTGGGTGGGTGCAGTAATAAAGGTTCAGAGTGCTCAAAAGCAGAGCAGAGCCTCTGGCTCCTATCTTTTATGCCTGAGAGCTTATCGCAAAAAAACTCAGAAGGGCAAAGAATCTGCTGTCTGTTGGGCCCCCTCAGTGCCCTCTGGAAATAGCCAGGCCCGAGGAAGGGCACGGGCAGCCTGGAGAAGGCCCAATCTCGAAGCTCCTACAATCGCTGTTGTTGTTTGGAGTGGCCTGTGCTGGCATGGCCACCAGACACAGTGTATCTGCAAGGCCTTGAGAAGCTGCCACCAACAGCAGACCAGCATGCTTGCTGCCCAGGAGGCTGGGGAATGCCTTTTCTTTTGTTTTTTCTTTCAGAGTCACCATAAAGCATCACTGTTGCACTATCTTTCCCATTAAGAATGTCCCTTAGAATGACAAGTCTTTAAAGGCAAGGGGTGGGGAGAGGTTGGTGGGCAGTTGACAAAGAAATCTCTGAATCTCTGAGGGAGGGTCCCAAGTTCCTGCAGCACTAGCTGCCTGAACAAGTGCACCACCTTACCTACCTGTGGCAGCTTGTCCTGTTTCCTGGTGGACCCAGGGGATGGGGGGTAGGCAGAGCTGTATAGGAGGAGAGTTTTTGTATGTGACTGAAGTTAAGTTGGTATCAATTCAAATTAGATAGCTGTAACTTTAGGGTATTATGTATAATCCTCATGGTAAGCACAAAGAAAATGTCCATAGAATATACACAAAAGGAAATCAAAATGTGTTACTACAGAAAATCAACACAAAAGACGGGAAGAAATGAAGGAAAAAAAGCTATGAGACATACAGAAAACAAATAGCAAAAAGGCAGAAACAAGTTATCCCTTATCAGTAATTACTTTAAATGTAAATGGATTATACTCTCTAATCAAAAGACTTAGATTAGCAAAGTGGATTTGTAGTATCATGATTTATAATAAGAAATATATATTTGATCTTTGTCCCAATTCCTGGCACACAGTTTCTAAAACCCAAGGAATTTCCTAAGTGATGAGAGCTGTGAAGGTGAAAGGATATCTTTTGTTACTCATAACAAGCCCCTTCCAACCTCATCTGACTTTGTATTAATGAGGTGATTTTGGGAAAGCCCCTAAATAACCACAGGGTGGGAGCTGATTGCCAGTGGAACCGACCACGTAATTCGAGGGGTGGAATTTTCAGTCCTCCCCATCTCACTTCCCCCTGCAATGTCTGGGGAGGGGAGAGGGGCTGGAGGTTCAATCAATCACCAGTAGTCAATGATTTAATCAGTCATGCCTACCTAAGGAAGCCTGCATAAAACCCCCCCAAAATGGGGTTTGGAGCACTCTAAGTTACTGAATATGTGGAGGTGCTGAGAGGATGGCCTGTCTGGGAGGAGCATGGAGCTTCCATGCTTTGCTTCTCACATGCTTTGCCCTATGCATCTTTTCCATCCGGATGCTCATTTGTATCCTTGAAATACCCTTTGTAACAAACTGGAAATAGTGTTTTCCTGAGCTCTGTGAACTATTCTAGCAAATAGGGTCACAAGGAGAGGGTCATAGGAACTCTGATTTATAGCCAGTCAGTTAGAAGCACAGGTGACAACCTGGATTCATTATTGGCATCTCAAGTGGGGGCAATCTCGTGGGACTGAGCCTAAAGTTAACCCATGGGATCTGACACTATCTCTGGACAGATGGTGTCAGAATTGAATTAAATTATAGGACTCCCAGTCCTAAATTATAGGACACCAAAGAACTGGAAAATTGCTTGGTAGGGGGAAAAACCCACACATTCCATAACCAGAAGTGTCAGAAGTATTGAGAAATATAAGCGTTGTATGTAAGAGTAGAAGAGAAACAGAATTTTTTCCTCTCAGGATTTAAAAAACATGATTTAACTATATACCGTATTCAAAAGACTCACTTTAGGTCTAAAGACAGAAAAAGGTTGAAGGTGAAAGAATGGAACAAGATATTCCATACAAATAGTAACCAAAAGAGAATTTACATTGCTATACTAATATGAGAAAAAAACAGACTTTAAGGCAAAAGCTGTCATGAGACAAAGAAGTACATTATATATTAATAAAGTGATCAATCACCAAGAAGTTAGAACATATATGCACCAAATATCAGAGCCCCAAAATATTTAAAGCAAACATTGGCAGAATTGAAGGGAGAAATAGAAAGCTTTATGATAATAGCTGGAGACTTCAACAGACCACTTTCAATAATAGAATAACCAGACAGAATATCAATAAGGCAGTAGAGGATGTGAACAGCCCCATAAACTAATGATACCTAACAGACATAGACACAACACTCCACCCAACAGTAGCAGAATATACACTCTTCTCAAGTGCACAGGGAACATTATCCAAAACAGACCACAAAACACAGTTAACCACAAAATGTGTCTTAATATATTTTAAAGGATTGACATAATAAAAGGATCTTTTCTGATCACATGGAATAAAGCTAGAAATCAATAACAGTAGGAAAACTGGAAAATTCACAATTATGTGGACATTAAACAACAAATGCATCAAAGAGAAAATCACAAGATAAATCAGAAAATACCTTGAGAAAAATGAAAATAAAAATACAGCATACCAAAATTTAAGGGATGCAGTGAAAGCAGTACTGAGAGGAAAATTTACAGCTATAAATGTACATACTAAAATAGAAGATCTCAAATCAATAACTTAATGTTACATCTTAAGGAACTAGAAAAGGAAAAGTAGACTAAACCCAAAGCTCGTAGAAGGATGGAAATGATAAAGATTAGAGTGAAGATAAGTGAAATAGAAAAATAATAGAAAAATAGAAAAACAAAACCAAAAGTTGGTTCCAGAAAAATCAACAAAATTGGCAAAACTTTAGCTAGATTAACAAAGAAAAAAAGGGAGGAGATTCAAATTACTAATATCAGAAATATCACTATGAATTTTACAGAAATAAAAAGGATTATAAAAGAATACTGTGGACATTTATACCAACAAATTGGACAACCTAGATAAAATGGACAAATTCCTAAAAACACACAATCTACCGAAGCTGAATGATGAAGAAACAGAAAATCTGAAAGGACTTATTACTAATAAGGAGATTCAATCAGTAGTTAAAATGGTCTCAACAAATAAAAGCCCAGAATCAGATGGCTTCACTGGTGAATTCTACCAAACATTTAAAGAATACCAATCCTTCTCAAACTCTAAAAATAAAGTTACCATATGATCCTGCAATCCTACTCCTGAGCATATATCTGGAGAAAACTCTAGTTTGCAACCCAATGTTCATAGCAGCACTATTTACAAAAGCCAAGACATGGAAGCAAGCTAAATGTCCACTGACAGATGAATGAATAAAGAAGATGTGGTATATATACATACACAATACAATATTACCCAACCGTAAAAAGAATGAAATAATGCCATTTGCAGCAATATGGTTGGACCTAGAAATTATCATATTAAGTGAAGTAAGTCAGAGAAAGACAAATATCATATGATATCACAGTTATATGTGGAATCTAAAAAAATGACACAAATGAGCTTATTTACAACACAGAAATAGACTCACAGACATAGAAAACTTGTGGTTAGCAAAGGGAATGGGGGAGATAAATTAGGAGTCTGGGATTAACATATACACACTACCAAATATAAAACAGATAAACAACAAGGACCCACTGCATAGCACAGGAAACTATACTCAATATCGTGTAATAACGAATAACGTAAAAGAATCTGAAAAAATATATATGTAGGGGGCTTCCCTGGTGGCGCAGTAGTTGAGAGGACGCCTGCCGAAGCAGGGGACACAGGTTCGTGCCCCGGTGCGGGAGGATCCCATGTGCCGCGGAGCGGCTGGGCCCGTGAGCCACGGCCGCTGAGCCTGCGCGTCCGGAGCCTGTGCTCCGCAACGGGAGACGCCACAGCAGTGAGGCCCGCGTATCGCAAAAAAAATAAATAAATAAAAATAATAAAAAAATATATATATATATACATGTATGTACATATGTATAACTAAATCACTTTGCTGTACACTTGAAACTAACACACACTGCAAACTAACTATATGTCAACTTAAAAACTTAAAAAAAGGAATAAAATACTTAGCAATAAATTTACCCAAGGATGTGGAAGACTTGGACACTGAATCTACAAAACATTGCTGAAAGAAATTTTAAAAGACACAAATAAATGGAAAGACACATCCCATGTTCATGGGTTGGAAGACTTAATATTGTGAGGATGACAATACTACCCAAAGTGATCTAGGAATTCAGTGTAATCCCTATCCAAACCCCAATAAATGTTTTTTGTTTTTCATCCTAAAATTCATATGGAATCTCAAAGGACTTTTATGGCCAAAACTATCCTGAAAAAGGAAAGAAGGTGGATGACTCATACTTCCTGATTTCAAAATTTACCACAAAGCTACAAGAATCAAAACTGTGGTACCAACATAAGGACAGACATATAGAACAATGTAATAGACTAGAAAGTCCAGAAATAAACCCTACTTTGAGTGGGAAAAAAAAGAGTGAAGACAACCCACAGAATGGGAGAAGTATTTGCAAAGCATGTATCTGATTAGGCATTAATATATACAGAGAGAGGAGATAAAAAGAACTCCTATAACGCAACAACAAAAAAATCCTATAAAGTAACCAATACAAAAATGAGCAAAAGACTTGCATAGATATTTCTCCAAAGAAGATGTACAAATGACTACTAAGCATATGAAAAGATGCTCAACAACCCTAGTCATTAGGGAAATGCAAATCAAACTACAATGAGATACCACTTCATACACATTAAGGTAAAATAAATACATGGAGAGAGAGGGAATATGAATATGAGGATGAGGAGAAATTGGAACTCTCATGCATTACTGGTGGGCATGTAAAATGGTATGGCCACCATGGAAAACAGTATAGCTATTCCTCAAAAAGTTAAACAAATACTTCAGCAATTTCATTCCTCAAAAGAACTGAAAGCAGAGACTCAAACAGGTATGTGCACACCAAGTTCAGACTAGCATTATTCACAAAAGCCAAAAGGTAAAAACAATCCAACTGTCCACAGACAGATGAATAGAGAGACAAAATGTGGTATACATACAATGGAATATTATACAACCGTAAAAGGGACAGAATTTTAGTACATGGATTTGACAACATGGATGACTGTGAAGACATTATGCTAAGTGAAATAAGTGAGACACAAGAGGACAAACGTTGTATGATTCCACTTACATGAACTATCTAGAATAAGCAAATTCTAAAGACAGAAAGTAGAATAGTGATTACCAGAAGCTGAGGGTAGGGGAGAAAGGGGAGTTATTGTTTAATGGGCACAGAGTTTCTCTTTGGGATGATGAAAAGTTCTGGAAATGCATAGTGGTGACAGCTTCACAACATCGTGCATGTATGTAATGCCACTGAAATGGTTAAAATGGTAAATTTTATGTTCTGTATATTTTACCACATACATACATATAAAGGTGAATGGATAATATGTTAAACTGTGGTTCAGTTTATATACAATGGAATATAATTCAGTGATAAAAAGACCTATGAAGTCACAAAAAGACCTATGAAGTCACAAAAAGACATGGAGGAAACTTAAATGCATTTTGCTAAAGGTTAAAGAAGCCAATTTGAAAAGGCTATATACTATATGATCCCAAGTATATGATATTCCAGAAAATGCAAAACTGTGGAGAACAGTCAAAAGATCAGTGGTTGCCAAGGGTTAGGGAAGAGGGAGGGATAAATATGTAGAGCACAGATTTTTAGCCAGGTAAAACTACTTGTATGATACTGTAACGGTGGACACAGGACATTATGAATTCTTCAAAACTCATGTAATATACAACACAAGAACTTTAGTTAGTAATACCTGAAGTTATTAATATTCTATCAATATTGGTTCATTAAGTGCAACAAACATACCACACAAATGCAAGATGTTAATAATACAGGAAATGGGGTGTGGGGACCCTCTGTGCTATCTGCTCAATTTTCTATAAACTAAATATGTTTTAAAAATAAAATCTATTAATTAAAAAGAAATCCTATTTGGAAATTCCGTAGCTGAATTTTAAAGAAGGAAAATGAGAGTCACAGAAAGCAGATGAATTCTTGGATTGGGTGGGGTTCCCTGGAAAGGAGCATGAAGGAACTTTCTAGAGTGATAGAAATGTTCTGTCTTGATTAGGCCTGGGCTGGTTGTTCCATGGGTGCATTCATTAGTCAAACTTATATAATTATTCACTAAAAATGAGTGTATTTGTAAGTAAATACTACCTCAATAATGTTGATCTTTTTAAAATAGGGTCATTGAGGTGGAACAAGTGGGGCCCCTTCCCTGATTTCTTCCATGGGGCCAACTCAACAGACTGTCTTTCTCTCTCCTCCTCCTGGATGGTCTTTTCTCCCCCAGAATATGAATTTCTATCTTCTGATTCTCCGAGCCTCTGAAAGTCAACCTTGAAAATGGACTTGTCAGCAGCTCCAACTTGGTGAAGAAGCCATGGACAAGGAATGCAGAGAGACCTGCCACCACCACACAGCCGGACCCTCCTGGCCACCTGGCTTCAGCACCTACAACCTCTCTGATTAAAAAGTTAATATTGGCCATAGTTCATGGAGTGTGCCCCAAGCTTGGGCATTCTGTGGGCTCTAGGCATACAGATAATCGTCATTCTTCCATCAGCTCTGCTACACAAGCATGACTACCACCCCTATTTTCAGAAGAAGAAACTGAAGCACAACGAGTAGGCTTATCTAAGACCTGCCTAAGACCTCAACCAGCTAGGGAGTGATGTATCGAGGTCAGGACCCAGGCACAGCACAGTGTTGGGGCCAATTCTTGACATCTAAATTTTCTGCCTCTCTAATCAACCTACTAATTAACTATGCAATTAGCTGCATCATGTCTGTTCCTGGCCAAGCCATAGGCTGTCTTGCCCAGCACTACCAGTGTGTGCACGTGTGCATAGTGCCAGCACACACTAAGCACTCACTAAAGAGTTTGGGAATGAATGGACGTAGGTCCAAGGCTCAAGGGCAAGGGCTGTCAGTGGATGCTGGCCAGCATCTTGCAGTGGCTCCTCCTACCCTGCAGGCTGCTAGCCAGGTGGGGCCTCCATTGCCTGCAGCTGCCAGGCACGATGGAATAGCCTGGGGGCCAAAGCTCTGGGCTCTGCTGTGCGCTGTGCACACCAACCACACCCAAGCAGCCATTCAGAGGCATGAGAAAGCACAAGAAAGGAAACCACTTTGGTCCCAAGTGCTGATAAACAGTCCCAGACAGTTTTTACAGGACAAAGGAAGAGGAATGCTCTGGCATAAAATTCACCAGACCTTCACCAGCAACCTCTGCTAAGCCCTACCTCCCCCATCATCTTGCCCTCCTGGCAGCACCACAACCATGGACACCGCCGCCCACCCACCAACCTGTTAGCCTGGCTTGGCAATAGAGGCCCTGTGGGAGCTGGCCTCACTTGCCCTCACCGGGCCTCCCAGGCCCCTGAGCCATTCCTGCACAGCAACCCCCAACTGCAGTGTACTGCCCAGGATTCCCGCCCTTGGCACAAGAATACCTGTCTCTGTGGTTTCCGCCTGGCTAACTCACGCTGACTGCCCTCCCGCCAAGAGACCTTCCTGAGCTCCCCTGCCGCCCCACCCAAACCAAAGTCCAGATGCTTGGACCGCAACCTCCCCTCCCAAATTGAATCTCCCAGAATCCCCTCCTGTCCCAGTGCCCAACCTGGCCTCAGGCATGGAGTTGAGATGGCACACTCCCCAGCACACCACAAGGCAGGGACTGGTTCTGCAGCAACAGCAATTGCTGCAGTGACACTCGGCCAGTGCTGGCCCTGAGCAGACGCATCAGGCCCCACACACTCCCTCTGCAACCCTTTGTAGAGGCCCCAGAACCAACACAAGACAGTTTCCTGTTGGTGCATGGAGACAGTGAGCCAGAACTTGAGGCCCGCAGCCTTGCAAGCCTGCCCATTTGACCCTCCCAGGCCTGTGCTCTCTGGGCCCCAGTTCCCCATACCAAAAATGAAGGGCTCTGAGGGAAGAGGTCTCTAGAGGCCCAGGACACAGAGATGGCAGGGAGAAAGGGGATTGATGGGCCTGGGCAGGGTCTAGTCCTGGCTCTGCCACTGACTGCCCTAGCAGTCTGGGGCACCTGCCCAACCTGACACTTTATTTCCTCATCCACACAAAGAGATATTCCACTTTTCCCCATACAGCGGTTCTCAATGGGAAGCACCTGATGCAAGACCAGGTGCACAATAGGTACAACAGACCCTGGAACAATGCAGCGGTTGGGGGCGCAGATCCCTGAGCAGTCCAAAATCCACACATTACTTTACAGTCAGCCCTCCATATCCATAATTTTGCATCCAAGGATTCAGCCAACCTGAGGTCATGTAGTACTATAGTATGTATCGAAAAAAGTCCACATATAAATGGACCCTCACATTTGAAACCTCAAAGGGTCAACTCTACTCAGAAACAGCAGCCACAGATAAAAAGAATTCAGAGAGATGACGGGAATGCACAGCAGCTGGGGTCTCTTCTGGCTAAGGCTGGGACACTGATGTCCTGGAAATCACCAGGTTCCTGCCCATGAAATCCTATTTGTGTGCAGGACTCAGGCTGGAACTCCAGTGAGTTCTGGGGAGAGAACAGGGACTTCTGGGGCCTTCCTGGCCCCATGGGCCACCCCTAGGTAACTTCTACCTCATGAAGCAGCCTGACCATGCTGTCATGGGCTCTGTCACCAGCCTGTCTCTCTCATGGAGCTTCTCCTACAGGGAAAGGTCCATAGGGAAGGGTCACCCTGCTCAGTTAGGGTCAGGAAGGTGGTGGGCAGGTCTCCACTCCAGAGAGGTCCTTGGCGGATGACTGGGCTGGAGAACCCATCCAGGGAAAAGAAGGAGGGACTGGGGCAGTTCAGTATGGGGCACAAAGCCTTCGGGGACCGAGTCGGTATCCACAATTCCCCTGGGCCTCCGCTGGGCAAGGGGTGCAGCCTGGGAGGCACCACAGAGTCCCATGGGTACCACACACTGCCCAGGTATGCACCACCTGTTGGGCATTCTTCTCAGGTAGCTGTGAGGACGGAGTGTCTATATTTCCTGATAGAAGCACAGTAGAATCATTTTTATTTTCACCTCCCACGGTCAGGCCTCAACCCTACCTCCCCCACCCGCCCATGCAGCATCTACCCACCTACAGACGTGCACTGGCCGCTGCCCTCCCGGAACCACCCACGACGTGGCCCCCACCCATTAGAACCTTCTTCCATGGCCTGACCTGGCCTCAGAACCATCCCAGGACCAGCCTCTGTCCCCCAGAACCCTCTAGGGCCTCACCTGGCCTCGCCGTCCAGACCCCTCCAAGGTGGGGCCCCCAACGCTCAGAAGCCTCCAGGGCATGACATGGCCTTGCCCAACAGAACTCTCCAGGGCTTGTCCATGGCCCCCGCCCCCAAGAACCCTCCAGGACCCGGAGTGGCCTCGCCCCCCAAGAACCCGGCCCCGGGCCGCGAGCCGGCCTACCGTCGTCTCGTCGACAGGACACTTGGTCACGGGCAAGGTCACTCGCCGCCGCGAGGAGCGGCCCCCGGTGTGGCATCGGGACACCCGGACCCTATGGGCCACCATGGCCGCGCGCCCGTCCCTGTATGGCAGGCACGACCCCGGACCGCTCTCACCTGTCATGGCGGCGGCACGCCGTGCACCCAGCTGACCCGGCCAGTCCCCCTGCCGCCGTCAGTCAGCCTGGCTGTCCGGCCGCTGCCCGTCGACCCCTGTGACGACCGCCCGCTCTTTCCCTGTGAGCCCCGCCCCCGGCATCATCGCGGCTAAGCCCTAACCCCGCCCTCACTGAGCCCGCCCCTTGCCGATAGGCCCAGTCCGTAGCGTCGGCTGCGTCGCCTCGAGGGCTCTAAATCCACATCCCTCACTCCAGCCCCGTTTCCGGACGCGTGGGCTACGAACGCTGCCGAGCCCTTAGCCCCTCCCCTCACTGGGCCCGGCCTTCCGAGCGCCCGGGGCATCGGCTTTGTCACTGCGAGAGCTCTAAACCCCGCCCTCACTGAGCCCCCACCCTCGCGGACAGTAGCTCTGTTGCTGCCACAGTTCTTGAGCCCCGCCCCTCGCTGAGCCCGGTCCTCATCAGTTACTGGGCCTCCAGAAGCCTTAAACCTTGAGCCTAGCTCCCGCCTGCAAGCGGAACTCTCAGCTCCACCTCTCACTGAGTTCCGCCGCCGCTGTCCTGGGCTACGTCACCACCAGATCCCTGAGCCCTGCCCTTTTCCACGAGGCCCCGCTCCCGCCTGCGTCGATGGCGTCGCCGCGACCACTCTAAATGCCGCCCCCATTCTAAGCCCCGCCCCTCCGGCGCCACCTACGTCGCCGCGCAACTCTGAGTCCCGCCCCTCACCCGAGCCTCACCCGGGTCTCTGGCGCAGCCTCCTTTATACCTTATGTTCTCCGTCCTGGCCTTTACCCACTTTGGATCCGTTCAGTCTTGGCCTCACGGGGCGGCCAGGGTCCGGACCTGGATGAGCGCTTCCGGGCACTGTCCACCGTGCCCGTGCGCCGACCCCCCACCCCATGAAGGAACTGGAGGATGGGTGCAGCTGTCGGATGGAAACCCCAAAACTCTTGGACCGACTCGTGGTGGTCATCACGGGAACCATCCCCGCTCCGAACACTGAAAGTGAGTCTGGCCCGCCTTACCGGAAAAGCCCAGCCGGGTCCTACCCCAGTCCGTGGGACAACACGGGCAGTGCCAACCTGGGGCAGGAGGGCTGTATAGCATGACCTGGGGGTGCACTAGGGGAAGTCCAGGCCTGCTCGAGGTCCCACGGGCGCCCTCCTGGAGGGGGCCTCCTGCCCACCAGTGGAACTGGCCTCACACCCCCTCCCCCATTACTCTGCATCCCTCATGCTGGGTCATGACTCTGCAGACCAAAAGTGTTGCCTGTGACATCCCAGTAAACATAAATGTTACCCACTATTAAGCCATTAGGCACTGCAGCACCCCCCTTGGGGGGAATTCAGGACGGAGAAAAACAGGATACAGGACCCAGATAGATGAGATGCATATCTAAGGAATAATTTCAATAAGCTCAGATTCTTGTATCTTCCCAAACAGAAAAGCACTAAGATCATTAGCTTGACATGTCTGTTTTTGTGATTAGTAATCTTTTGATATTCAACTACATGGGTTTTTTGGGGTTTCTTTGTGTTTTTTTTCTTCAGCAAAAACTCTTGTGTATCCTGGCTCCTGTCAACTGGAAAAAGTGCACAACCTAAAAGTTGAGAATTATGTTTTATTTGGTAGACTTTCTGAGGATTTCAAGCCTGGGAGGTAGCCTCTCAGATAGCTCTGAGGGACTGCTCCAAATAGGTAAGGGAGGCGCCAGGATATATAGGAGTTTTGCAACAAGGACCAGGTAGTTGGGACATCAAAAGATTACTGTATAAGACTTCCCTGGTGGAGCTGTGGTTAAGAATCCGCCTGCCAATTCAGGGACACAGGTTCGAGCCCTGGTCCGGGAAGATCCCACATGTAGCGGAGCAACTAAGCCTGTGCACCACAACTACTGAGCCTGCTCTCTAGAGTCCGTACTACTGAGCCCGCACACCACAACTACTGAAGCCCGCACGCCACAGCTACTGAAACCCCTGCACCTAGAGCCTGTGCTCGGCAACGAGAAGCCAGTGCAATGAGAAGCCTGTGGACCGCAATGAATAGACCCCACTCACAGCAACTAGAGAAAACCCGTGCGCAGCAGCCCAAAAATAAATAAATAAATAAAATTTATGTTAAAAAAAAAAAGATTACTGTTTGTTAAAGAAAACCAGGTATCTCAAGTTGATGAATTTAGTGCTTTTCTTTGTATGGGAAGATGCAAGAGTCTGGGCTCATCGAAATCATCCCTTTGATGTGCACCTTACCTATCTATGGCCAGTATCCTTTTCTTTCCCATCCTGAGTCCCCTGACGGTGCACTGCTGGGATTGGCTGCAGTGGCTGAGGGTTTGGGGAGTAAGGGGCAGTCCGTTTGTCTGCATCCTGAGTTCCCTCAGCGCTCTCCATAGGGGGCAGTGGTAGCGGCTGATGACTGCAACATCCTTTTTTGTGTGTGTGTGGTACGCGGGCCTCTCACTGTTGTGGCGTCTCCCGTTGCAGAGCACAGGCTCTGGACGCGCAGGCTCAGCGGCCATGGCTCACGGGCCCAGCCGCTTCGCGGCTTGTGGGATCTTCCCGGACCGGGGCACGAACCCGTGTCCGCTGCATCAGCAGGAGGACTCTCAACCACTGCGCCACCAGGGAAGCCCACTGCAACATCCTTTTATGTTTACTGATACAGCAGGCAACATTTTTCATTCACAGAACAGAGCTACCTAAGAGGCTGTCTCCAGGGCTATAGTCCTCACTAGGGTCCCTGAATAAAACATAACTGGCAACTTTCAGGCTGTGTGTTCTTTAAAAGTCAACAGCTCCTAGCATTTACTTCTCTTAGTTCCTTTCACTCTCTAGGAGTAATGTCAGTGGCATAAGTGTGGGGTCTAGATGGACAGAGGACACAGTGAGGAAGGGGGGCTCCTAGGCCAGACTCCTTCCTGGGTGGCCAACATTCCATGCCACTCCCACCAAGGGACAGATAGGGAAACTGAGGCTCAGAGCAGCAGATTTCTGGACCTTGCCCCTGTTCAGCAATGACAGGGCCTCCGAAGTGCAGGATTTGCTAGAGGGACCCCACTCCCTGGCAGACAGGCCCTGTGCCCCTCGGGATGTGCATGCCAGGCAAGCTAGGGCAGGGGATCCCCACCCTGTGAGTGGCAGCAGACGCTCAAAGAGTCAATGGGTGGGCCCTGGGCACTCCCCTCCCCAGATGGGGCGGGGACTGTGTGCAATGTCTCCCTCCTTGCCCACTGCCCCACTGCCACTGCACGATTCGGATCGAAAGTGAACACTCAGGAAGTTGGGCCATCTGAGGTGGGAGGGCGGGCCTCCTGGGGACCCTCCCCAATCTGCTGAATACTGTGGGTCTCACATGCAGAGCGAAACATCTCCCTGTGTGGACTTACTGGTGCGAACTGACGTTGCTCCCCACCTGTCCCTTAACATCCAGGATGCACTGGCCCTGACCCTCACCCCCACCCCCACTGCTTTCACTTCTGACTTTTGCTTCCGTAGAATTTTGTAATCTTGGCATGCTTTCTGTGATCAGAAAGTAAATACAAGTTTAAATCAGGCAGGGAGAGCTCTTCCCACGTGGTGTCTGCACTTGCCACTTGCCTGATCTCCTCAGGACTGCCCTCCCCTCCAACATGTAGGCAAAGTCAAAAAGCAAACAAGAAACTGGGACATGTTAGCAGCTCATCTCCCTAATTAATAAAGAGCTCCTAGAAATCAGAAAGAAAGCAGTCAACATTCATATACTCAGAGAAAGAGGAAATGCCTAAGGAGCTGCTCAGTTTCATTCATAATAAGAACATCGTGTTCCATGGGTACAACTGGCACAAATCCAAGATCCTGATCAGACCTTCTGTGGGCCAAGCCGTGGGAACACCTCACCACAGGGCACCACCACAGGCTCCCCATCCTGTCCCCCCAGGCACTTCCTGCTGCCCATCTCCCTACTAGAATGTCAGCTCCCAAAGGCAGGGCCACATCTACTTTGGTCACAGTGCCAGACTTACAGCAGGTGCTCTGTAAATGCACTTAGAGCCTAACTAGATGAGCTGAATAAAGCGGCAAGCAGAGGCCAGAGGCAGGAGGAATGCAGGGTGCCTGTGGGCTGAGAAGCAGCCTGCCTGGGTAGAGCTGACCATGCGAAGGGTTGGGGTGGGTGATAAAGGGCCTGAACACTGCGGAGGTGCAAGGGCATTCTCCTCCCACATTCTCATATGGCCAAGGGCCACAATTCATTCATTCAATCATTAATTTATTTAGTAAATATCTCCTAAACACCCACCATGAGCCCAACGAAGAGGTAGATTGTCACTGGGAGAGCAGAGGAGCCCTGATCCCATGGAGCTTCCATCAATAGCAGCAAAACACATCTGAGTGCAGGTGCTGAGTGTTGTGAAGAGCAGGAGGCTAGAGGCTGCCTGGGGAGGCTACCAGCCTCCAAGGTGGCCCCTCACATTGTTACAGAACTCAGGTTTGGCTGCTCACTGCTCAAAAGTCAATAACTGAGGACCAAGTATCGATAGAAAGAAAAGGTGCTTTATTCTGAGAAGCCAGCAATCTGGAGAGAAGGTGAACTCTTGTCTGGAGCCCAATTCCAAAGATTCTGCTCAGCCATGACAACTTTTAAAGGGAAAAAGGGGAAACGATCTCAGTGGATCATTAATGTAAGAGGTCAGATTCATCGTCATTTTTCCATTGCGTGCAGACCTGCTGGCTTCTGATCCTTTGGATGCTGTCTTGCTCACATGGTCCCCCTAGAACTGGATGTTCCTTTGCCCATGTGGTCTGCCTTGCAAATGTACCAAGGGTAAGATAGAGGTAGAGAGTCAGTCATTCTTTAACTACATAATTCTTCATCCTTACTCCTTTTAATCCAGGAATGAACCCATTAGACTAGGCATTGTGTACATCCAGTAAAGCAAAACTCAGGAGCTGTGTTACATGTTGCCTAGTGAGCTCATCTTTCTGATTAAGGTCTGAGGAAAACAGGGGTGAACAAATGGAAAAGGGGCAAAAGAGCTGCTGCAACATACTGGGTCACACCCCTGTGCAGTCTCCTCCGCAGCAAATCAGGCCAGTCTTTGTGACTGGTGAAATGTGGCAGAGGTGATGGTGTGTGACTTCTTTGGCTGGGTCGTAAAGGGGACTGTGGTTCCTGCCTTTCTCTCCTGGATCACTGTCTCTGGGGGAGCAAGCTACCATGTCATGAGGATGCCCAAGCAGTGCTGAGGAGTATAGGGAGGAGCTGGACCCCCAGCCAACAGCCAGCATCAACTTGCCATGAGGGAGTCCCTGGCTCCAGTCAAGCCTTCAGCAGAAAGCCTGTCCAACATCTGACAGCAGCCTCAAGAGAGATCCAGAGACACAGCCACCCTGCCAAGCCTCACCTGAAACTGTGAGAGATAATAAATGATGATTATTGTTTCGAGCAGAAGGGTGAGGTCAGGTGGTGACAGGCAGGTCACACAGGGTAATAGAGGCCAGGCAGCTGGGAGCTGACAACATGAGGGTTATGAGCTGGGGAGGCGGGGTCGGGGAATGGAGATCTG